AAAAGAAAAGAAAAGAAAGACCAAAGGGGAAGGAGGCAGCTGGGTTGGGGGGGGTGGCTGGTTGTTGGAAGGGGGTTATTTTTTTTTCACCATACTGTATTATCCTGATGCAATAAAGCCCGGGCGTAATGTAATTTAAAAATATAGAGATGTCCAAACAAATAGCCGGGCCGGGATATGACAAGTGCAGTCGGCATCATAATTCAGGGGAGCTCCACCTCCAAACCGCCTCCTAATTAATGAAACTCCCAACTTGCAAAAGCTGCATTGGACGGAGCCAGGCAGCGCGGAGCGGGAGAGGGCGAAAAGTGTCAGTGGAGATAATTGATCACCTCCCAATCAACAATAACTTGTTAGCAATAGTCGATTGCCCCGGCCCGGCGCCTCTTTCCCCGCCGTGCGGAGCCGGGAGCCGGGCTGCGCCGCCTGCCCCTCGGCGCGGGCTCGGGGGCAGGTCGGGGTGGATCCACGAAGGAGCAGCCGCGAAGAGGAGGACGAGGACCGCGCAGAGAGCGGGGGGGCGACAGCAGCCGAGCACCCCCGCTTGGGACGAGAGGCGGCGGCGGCCGGAGTTGAACTTGCCCTTGGCGGCGGCCGGGGCCAGGCGCGAGCCCGGACACGACTCCAGCATGACTTCCAAAGACGAGGCCAAGTCCGGCTCGGTGGAGGAGCGGCGGCGCAGCCCGCTGGACCACCTGCCGCCGCCCGCCAACTCCAACAAGCCGCTGACCCCCTTCAGCATCGAGGACATCCTCAACAAGCCGTCGGTGCGGCGGAGCTACACGCTGTGCGGGGCCGCGCACCTCCTCTCGGCCGCCGACAAGCACCCGCCGGCCGGCCTGCCCCTCTCCAGCCGCGCGCTGCTCTCGCAGACCTCGCCGCTCTGCGCCCTCGAGGAGCTGGCCAGCAAGACCTTCAAGGGCCTGGAAGTCAGCGTGCTGCAGGCGGCCGAAGGTAAGCGCCGGCCCGGCCCGGCCCGGCCCGGCCCGGCCCGGCCCGCGGGCGTGAGCCAGGCTAGGCTCCCGGCTGCGGCCGCGCGGCGGGCAGGAGCGGAGCAGCGCCTAATCGGATTGAGCCCTTCCTG